CCACAATCTAGGTATTTAAGAAGGTAAAAATGCCCGATAAAAACAAATTTGTGTAGGGCCTAGAGTGGGATCAGAATGCTTAGAAGCTGCCTACTGTAGGCGTAGGCCCCCTCAGACTTAGCTGCGTAAGCATGTAGGCCTAGTTTATGCCAGTGTAAGTAGTACCAGTGCAAATATATAGGAATTTGGGTCAACCCCGATTTTACGAATACCCGAATTTACGAACGGCTCTGGGGCCGTGCTGTACGTAAATGAGGGGTTCTACTTGTACATTCCTTTGCAACTTTTCGACAAAAGTTGCTTATTCTCCTAATGCTCTCTCGCCCCAATAATTGATTCTTAAGTTGTGTCTGCTTGCAGTGCCTAATTCTTCTGTGGTCATCAGTTGTTATAACCTCATTCTGTTCAGACTTGGATATACGTTTAATCAATTCATCCTTCAGCATACCATATGGCCTGATCGGTGGTGTCGATATTAGCGAATCTTGTATTTCCTGCGCTATTTCTTGCTGCAACGAGGCAATAACATAGGCATGCTTAGTTTGCTCGGTCGTTATGCCACAGTTTAAGAACTTCACTCCACCCGAGGAAACCAAAGGGTTAGATCAACAGGTCAAACTAGTTTAGGCAGTTTCAAGGCAATAGCAGACACTTGCGGTGTATCTAACGGTTCAGGAAGAACATTTGACTGTTATTTATGCATGCACGCTGCTACCCTTCCAGGCGTCGCTATTAAAACAGGTTAGGTAGTTCTTCTTGGGCGTTGAATTCAGTCAGTCTTCCACCTAAGAATCCATTGCCGGGCCTAGAATGATTGTGACAGACGTCGGGATCACCAATTATTTAGTAACTCAATACAAGATGTGTATAAGAGACAGCATATATATAGGCCATTTAACTCGTTAAGGTAGGCCTACTGTCTAGTGGTTATGTTTATATTAACTTTTATACCATAATTGGTACCATTTTAAAAATACAGCAGTTACCACTGACCACCAATATAATAATTATTTTTCACCTTACATTTCTTTCAATAAATTAAAATTGAAATTGGTTTGCTGATCTAAATTATTACATTATGTCATTTTTTTTTTAGGTATGGTGATAAATATTTGAGAAGATCGCACGAGAATTAGTTGAATTCCTAATTTACTAAATTCCAAATCCAAACGGATTTTTAACATGTGTCTTGGTTTGCTTCAACATAGGATTAAAGTAGTGTCATTGGTAATACTTTTGCACTTTAACCGATTTTAAAGAGATTTGCCAAGCTTTATATTCAAAATATATTTAGGAAAACGAATATGGCTTATGGGGCTTTTTAGATCAACTTTTTACTTGCAAATAATTATTACGTAAACATTTGTTAGATGTTTACCATATATTTTGTATTTCATAAAACGTCCATCCTTTGAGCAACTAACAATAACATGCAATACAATGATGATAGCTTCCTTTTCGGAAAACCTATATAAAACCCGCTTCTATGCTGCACGATTTATGTAGATCACAAGATTATCACAAGATTGTTTATAATGATTGTTATGGCTGCGATCATAAAACTAAGAAGTTAAACGCTGAGCATAGCATGATTTATATAATTTGCTTCCTTTTTCAAATTGTTAGATTAAGTATATTTTTTTCGTTTGACATAATTTGTTTAAAAACTTTTCCGAAAATGCCACATTTAAATTTTGAACATTATTTGTATTCTATAGTTTTGAGACTACTAACCAAAGCAATTTTGCTTTTGGTCCCACAATATTCAAATACATGTTTTTAGTTACTGTAATTAAGAAGTGTGTACAAAAGACCTTTACCCCTGTTTCGTAGTAGGTGTGTATTTTTCCATAAAACCAATTTGAAAATTTTTCAGTTGTCACTGAGCGAAGCTTTAATGTGCAGAGAAAAGTAACTAGAAATGAAATCAAGTTGACTGTATTTTTCGGTGCAGACTGTGCAGTAAGGTTTTTGCTGTAAGCGGAGTGTTTTGAGTGTTGCTTCTTGATAGATGAAGTGAGCATTTTTGTGCATGTTATATTCAGTTGTTAGTTTTTTTGTACGCAAAGCTGTGCCAGCGTTTTCAAACAAGGTAGTTAAAACGATATATTTCATGTGACACATTTCAGATTTTTTAGACCTTTTGACGTTTTTGAAAAAGTTTTGTAAAGCTATTTTAAACAGTATAAAAAGTTTTGTAAAAAATCACTGCAAATACGTGGTTGAAGAACGGGCTACCAAGAACCCAACGAACGAGTTGCAATGATGAAGGCCATGCGAAAACCATGGCTTTATTATGTGTAAACGTTTCAGACATTTGTATGGAACAAAGTACTTGAAGTTAGACCTGCGCGTAAACATATCGTTTTTCAATGATTATGCGTCATTTTATTTGATTTGTGAAATTATTTTTTATGGTATGCACGATACATCTTTATCGATCGCGCTAGTGTGAAACCCCTCTTATTTATTTTATTTTCAATATGAACAATTACTTAAAATTTTTTATCGTTGATCTTTATTGTTATAGTAGAAACATGCCTTCATAGCCTGAGGTGGCAGTTTCGAATGCTACTGAAAAATGAAACAATTTGTTCCTATTTAGGCATTAATATTATCTATTTATATTTCTATTTTGTTTATTGTGTATTTGTATTGTGTTAGTATATATATATAAAGAATCTCTATTGAGATCCAGCGGGCCGCCACTGAAGCACGGTAGAGATTGCATCTTTAGATCTCCGATCTTGTTCACAAATTCACGGACTAGTGCTGTCTCGTAAGAATTTCGTAGGACGCGTTAAGAATGACAAAATATTCTCTGTATCTACTGGAACCGAGCCACATAGCTTGTATTCCACTATTTGCATTCACACCTGGGCTGTGTATATATATATATATTGCCTTGGTTTGGCTCTGTAATCATTAGTGGTCGTGGGACTAGATTGGGCCCTACCTAAGC